GTAGAAACTTTGAGCACCTGTCTCAGTGTGAGCGGTCCTTTGTTGCGGTCAAAGCTGCTCATTGATGACAGTTTCTCAAAGGAAAAGTCTTCGATGGATCAAGAAAAATTATCTAATGACTTATACTGATGACGCATTCTATGTCATTCTCTAATAATTCTTCCATGGCTTATGTATGTAGGTATAAATTAAGATTTAATAAGTATTTCCTTGACGTGAACAAATCTTTCCTAGTGAGTGCTAATCGGACTCCGAATGATTTCCTTTACCATTCCTCTACGGATATTATAGGGAACAAAATGAATCATGTGATTTCAGCCTGATTGTTGAAATTTTTTGTTTGTCGGGACGACATAGATGACATCGGTTAAAAGGCGGAGCGTGATTGGTTGGCCATGTCTTATCGCTGCTTTGTCGTGCCTATGTCAAGTTGAACTCTTGACAAGCTAACGGCACCTCTTAAGTTTCCGACAGTATGTTGTCCATTCCACCTGACAAAGGCACGACAAAGCAGGGATAAGACATAGCCGACTAATCTCGCTCGGTTTTTTAACCTATGTCATCTATGCCGTCCCGACAAACAAAAAATTTCAACAATCAGGCTGCTCAGGTGTGTCTTGTGTTGTTCTTGGTCTAACTCAAAGCTCATAATCATTTAAAATCAATCATCATCACAGGTTTCCTAAATCTTCGAAATGTGCATTGAAATTTCATTGAAATTATTTCCAAGTCATGTCAAGAAGATTTTAATGGTCTTTCACGTTTGGATAAACCTTCAAAAATGTCATTATGAGCGCTTTTATGAATGCTGTGAGCACTAAATGTTACTCAAAATTTCCTCGAACGAAGCGCCGCCCATTATTGTCACTTTTTCTTTGATACCTGAATTTATATCTGTTCTTTTTCCCTGAGAGGGGTGAAAAACATCCAAAGCAAGTTTTTAAACTTTTTTTTTTCTAAACAGAGTCATAATCAATGCCATTTCTCCCTGTATCGGGTTGAACCTTTGACCTTGCTTGTTCCTTCTCTGCTGCCCTAGGTCAACATCTTTTGAAAATTTGAATGTTTCTATAACCATCTCTTTGGGCTGGAATAAAGGTGAAGCTTCAGACTTTTGAGGTACGGATCCACTTCTCAGACTTTCCAACTTAAATTTTCCTGTTTCAGCATTAACTCCGTCTTCTGTAAAAGTTAAGATCCAGTAGGCATCCTCAAATAATAATCCAGAAATAGGGGGAAAAATCCAGCAACTACATCGAGCCCAGGGGGTGGTTAGGCTTTCTTTAGGGATGTCGATACTTATCCGATACTTGCAAAGTATCGATACTTTCGATCGATACTTAACGATACTCGGCATCGATACTCCACGATATCGATACCATGCAGTATCGATGCCAAGACCCCAGTATCGACGGTATCGATACTTAATCTGATTTGGCCATGAAAAAGGCCTCTTTTTCTTTTTTAAAAAATTCTCTCCCCACTATTTCACCTTCATGATGCACTGTGACAAACGACGGAGTAATCAAGTTTCTCAAAATGATTATACTTCAATAAAAATGTTAAAAGCTCAGTTCGATAAGTGTAGTTAAAGGCTCAAAATAGTTGACTAAGGACGCGAACAGGGCTTTTTCGAGAGAGGCGGAATCTGGCGGATCTGGCGGAATTTAACGGCCGACAGACATACGCACACTCAGAATCACGGCATAATTCAGAAATAGTATCGATGGTATCGATACCTCATAAGTATCGATACTTCAGCTCGATGCTCGATACCGGTATCGATGCTTAGAGTCGATACCAGTATCGATACCGAGTATCGATACTTCCCTGAGTATCGACATCCCTAGCTTTCTTTACATTTTTTAGACTAGGACAGTACCTTCCATTTGCCAGATATTGCTAGAGTCCCTTTGGCAGTGAATTTGAAAGGCGCCTCCCCAGGCAAATGAAACCTCAAGTGCTCACCCCTTCCGAATGCATGGTATTCTATTCATAGGATGATTTGAATTCAAATCATCTTTGCAGAGCAGATGGTTGAAACTTCTTACAGTGTTTAAAAATCTCAGCTCCTATATTCTTTTAATAAAAGAGTACAAATCGACATCATTCCTTGAAGTTCCTGCAGGATTTTCTTCGTAAAGAGAAGAAAAATCACGGCAGTTTTTAAAACCTTCCGTCAAGTGGTTTCCCATTTAAAAAATAAAGTATGACAGGAAGTCTGTAGTGTCACATACCGAGATAAGTGGTAATTAAAATATTCCAAATCATACCATGAACTGATCCTACAGAAATTGTGCACTTCTGATGACACCGCAACACCAAGGATAAAACTGAGAAATGGTCCCAAACTTAGGGCGAGGACTAAATTTTGAGATTGTCAAGAAGAAAGGGTGTGAATTACTATTTCAGGGAGACGATTTTTCTTGATCCATTGAAGACTTTTCCTTTGAGAAACTGTCATCAATGAGCAGCTTTGACCGCAACAAAGGACCGCTCACACTGAGACAGGTGCTCAAAGTTTCTACGCTAGGCTTTCGGGTACAGTAATACACACCATTTGTCACATCAACGATAAATTTAGAGCACAAGTTGTTCAAATAAAACCATGAAACAAGCTTAATTTCCATCTGTATGCTGCAGTCATGAGATGCTGCTCTCGGAGAACGATTCCTGATGCAGACACTTGTAGATACAGAACTGAAATGTAAACTTTTGATTATTACCAAAGTAATTGTTTATGATGAAAAAGTAACACTGCTAAAGCTGAGACTTGAAGGAGAGGCACAATTAAATCCTCTTCGAGGAAAAAAAGCAGATCAAACCGACGAGCTACTTGGCTTCAGCTTCAACCATTAGGAGCGAAAGGAACAATGAAGAAATGCCATAAACTTTAGAAACTGAAGTGAAAAGGTATTAAGACGACACTGATTGAAAGACAAAAAACCATTTTAGGTCACAAAAGATGATTTTAAATTGAAAATTTGTCAAATTTCAGATCGAGAACTGCTGGTGGCTATTTGCAATGTTTTCTCTTGGCAATGAAAATGTCCTGCAGAGATGGAAAATTTCATGAAATTTATTCGAGTGAAATTTCACGAAATTTCATGAAATTTATTGAAACTTTTGAGGATACATGAGGCCAAGAAACGCCTAGAAACGGTGATTCTCGATATTGAGATTTTTCAGCCCCCCCTGACCTAACCTAACCTCACCACCCACTCTTCCAGCAGCTCAGTTTTTTATCACGAAGATTTCGGTGTCATTTCAGATGTCACTTATGTAAGTCATGGGTCCTTAATTTTCGTAAGTAATGCATCATTGACACTTGAGTGCCTCCGCTCCACCACAAGAACAATTTCCTCCACGCATCGGCATGAAAATACTAGTTTTTTTATGAGGGGGGGGGGACTTTTATTTGAGAAACGTTGGAGAAATTGATGCTAAAAATTGTAACGCTAAAAAACGGCACTTTTAGTGGTATATTTCTGAACCAACTTAATGTCCTACATATTTAACAATTATACTATAAAAATTATTCTCAGCAGTGCCAAACTGCCAGGGTACATGTCTGTTTACATTTGGTTTGGAGGTTAGGTTAGGGCTAACTTTCTCTAAAACCCCCCTTGTGCCCCCTCCTTTGGGTGTAGCATCTCATTAGTGGGCCATATTCTGCTGCATCAGCAGGAGGATCATCTGAACTGTTTCCGAGGCTTAGTAACAATATTTCTTTGAAAAATCAACAAATTTAAATTTTTTTGAAATTTATTCGGGCCTTGTGAAATTTCATGAAATTTCAAAACGTGAAATTTCACTTTCCATCTCTGCATAGAGTACATAGAGTCGTAATNTATGAGGGGGGGGGGACTTTTATTTGAGAAACGTTGGAGAAATTGATGCTAAAAATTGTAATGCTAAAAAACGGCACTTTTAGTGGTATATTTCTGAACCAACTTAATGTCCTACATATTTAACAATTATACTATAAAAATTATTCTCAGCAGTGCCAAACTGCCAGGGTACATGTCTGTTTACATTTGGTTTGGAGGTTAGGTTAGGGCTAACTTTCTCTAAAACCCCCCTTGTGCCCCCTCCTTTGGGTGTAGCATCTCATTAGTGGGCCATATTCTGCTGCATCGTTTCCGAGGCTTAGTAACAATATTTCTTTGAAAAATCAACAAATTTCATTCTTTTTGAAATTTATTCGGGCCTTGTGAAATTTCACTTTCCATCTCTGATCATGGGGCGAGTGCCCTACCGCTTAGCTACGCCGATTGGTGTTGAGATGGCGAATTTGCCAGTACATAAGGCAAATAAAGTTCTTTCTTTCTCCACTAGAGCTGAGAGTAGAGACGCATCGGTGAAACGCTCTTGCTTACTGATGATCTGCGGCAGGATTTTTGTCATCCCCATCCCTAACCTTCTAAGCCAAGAAGGAATCTCTGCTCTGCTAAACTCAAACGCCAGAGCCGAGCACTCCACGGCTCCCCGGTGCTCAATTCAATCGCAAGTTTTAACGTTTTTGTCCTATAGCCTAAACAGATTAAAAATTAGTTTACTTCACAACTCAGGTACGTAACATGAAATTCACTTTCCATAACTGGAGATCTTGATGAGCCGCTTATAATTGAAACTCAGATTTGCGTTTTGACGGTGAAACTACCAAACCATGTATCTTAGCTTGGCTTGTAACGTTTCAGTCATCCTGTCTCAATTTTTTTCCAAAATAGAGAACTACTCATTATCATACACGTTTTCTAACTACCCCGTTTTCTCAATGCAAAGCAAATTCTGGGAAAACTGCCAAGAATAATGCTGGTTTGTTCTTCTTTGAGAAGCAATTTTAGAGCAGAGATTTTCGAACACCGCAAATGTAATATGTGGTCGAATAGTTTCACTGTCAATGGGTGTATAGGTAATGCTACTAGGCGGTTCCGAAGCTTTTTCTACAGAGATAGATGGGAATTGAGGGCCTTGGAAGACAAGGTGGTGCAGTTTCAGAAATTTGAGATAAAGAGTCCAGCCGCCTCAGCTGCATGCCTCATTTCAACAGGTGAGGTACAAGGAAATGAGTGGACCTCACTAGAAGCACAGCAGATAAAAACAGGAAGAAAAGATGAAGGGGCATCAGAAATCAGGACTGTTTTTTGTTTTTCAGTGTTGAAAAAGGAGGGACGGAAATAAAAATAAAATTGTGTGCTCAGAAGCAAGCCTGACCAAACTTGAGTTGTGCGTGTATTCTGGTAGTTGAAGGTAAGATCTATTAGAATACTGAGTGTTTTTGTCTGGAAGTCATTTGACACGGAGAAAACAGTGAATGGCTTAGTGCATTTTCGTTTAGTGGTGCGGGATAAGTGCAACCTACCGTCACTTTAAGCTCAACTGCTGCCCTCAATTTGGCTCAACTAAGCTGAAAATTTCAGAAGACGTTCATGAAGGTGCAGGACAAACACTTGTAAATTTAGAAGGTATTCGGAGCACTCTTTAGGTCCGATTTAAATCCAGAACTTTAAACTAGTTTTTCGAAATAATTAAAGCTGCACCTAAGCGCCAAGTCTTCCAAGCCTCTCAGATGACAGAGAAAATGGAATGACCTGGCTGCAGCCTCAGATGGTTCGCGCTTGACAATCTGGGCAGCCTACTTTACCGGTATGCAGCATACAGACACTATTACCAAGTACCACGTCACACTCGGTATCAATTGTATGGAATTGAATCCAAACAATAACATGACCATACATTATTCACATTAACCACTGTGGATGTTAGGCAAAAGTAGTAAAAGTCTAAGTGTTTCATTCCACGGATCCTGTGTTTTTTCGTCCCCCTTCTTTTTTAAAAATATATAAATGGTTCATTGTTAGGTATGTTGAAGACTGCCATCACAATTCGATGAGGGATGTATGTAAATTTGTTAGATTCCCCAAGAATCAGTTGTAGAGGAATTTGTGGCTGGCTGAATTCAGGTGAAGCCTATTACCCTGGTATTCACACATGATTTTTTAGTATACAGTCTTTCAAGTGATGCATGGCTCATTTATTCCAGGCCAAAATTGCTAACTCTCAATTCCACTTAAATCAAGCTGAACCTGTAAGAGATAATCCAGCTGGAAGCAATTTTATTGATAGAAGTTTTGCGTTACTCATTCTGTCATCCTCAAAGTATACATCATGCAGCCAATCACAGGCCGGATTTTCAACTTGTCCATACCTGTGTTAATCTACCTTGTGTAGAGGTGGACTCTCAGGATAGGGTGGGATATCCCCTCCATCTTGGCCTCAACTTGAGAGCTTGAGCTTGGGAGATGATTTTAGAGAGAACCAGTGGCACCATCGTGTTTCTCGCGAACTTTTACATAAGAATCAACAGTCGAATCACAAATCCCTCACACGAGCAACATCTCCATTGTCCAACCTTCTGCCAGGTACCCCAACTCTTTCTTTTTCTTCTTCAAGATCTGTTACTTGTTTAGTGAATGAAATAAGGACTTGTTGGTAAGTGCTGGTCTCGGCTCACAAGTCGCTTATTTCATCCTTGGAATAACAGTTCCGAGATTCTTTTGCATACCTACCTCTTGATCACATGGAGATTTCCAGTGAAATAATTAATGATTTTGTTAGAGTATTATCAGGCCTTCAGACTTGATGTTCATTCATCAATTAAATTAAGCACACTGATGGCACTACACGGAAGGTACCAAATTTTCTTGCTCATTCCTATAAACAACTGTAGTCTTAGTAATCAAATTATAGTTAAAAAGCTGGGGTTACAGTTCCTTCCCTAAAAGTAAATGGTATAGGAAATTTACTGTCTACACACTGGTCAAAGTTTATCCGCATAAAAAACGAAGCTTTACTAGACAAAGCATTTCCCATGAAAAATATGTTTGCATATAGATGGTGAACTCAGAAAAAAACATTTATATACACTGCATTGTTACAATACTTTTGCTATGACATTCTTTATCCTTTGTCAAAAAGAAATATTCATTCACAACATTTCAAGAAGACAGTCACAGGGGCTTGAGAAAAATTCATGGAAAATGTCAAGCATAAATAATGATATGCTTTTTCAAATAAAATGTTGCAGCAAATTTCCAACAATCCTATTTGATTTACTTGTTTTTCCACCGTCTTCATTAAATTTTGAACTAAACTTGGGAGACACTGAGGACCTTTTTTAGAAATTGCTAAACATTTCAGCTGCTTAATTCAAATAAAAACACAGGATGAATTGTAAAATGAGAAAAATGTATTGGACGAAAAGAAAATTTATTTTTATTTATTTTATTTATTTTTTTACTCCTTCTGAGCAATGAAAGATATGCAGCACACATGAAGAGAGAGATTCAAAGATGAAGTGAAAGGAAATTCAGCACATTAAACGAGGAACTTTTTCTGACGGAATAATACTAGTTAAACACTAATAATGTTCTCTTAAACGTAGTAGTAGATACAAGTAATACATGTAATGTACATACATAAATGTACATACATTTATTTCAAAGCGGTGCTCTAGCATTTATGGCCAATAACACTTTTGAGATAAAAACCTTTGAGTATAAAGAAAGAGAGAAAGAATAAAAGTAAAGATAGAAGAGCAGGAACAGTATTGACCAGTTGACTCACCACTAAAATTTCAGAGCCACTATTAAGGGTGCAGAAAATGTGGAAAGGCCCCGATTTTGTGGGAAGATCAAAAAATGAAGGGTAGAAGGTAAAATTTTTTAGAGTTAAAAATGCTGCATGTCTTCGTATCAGTTCGCGTAGAGATAAACCATTCATGGAGAGGGAAGTGGAATTTACCGTTTCAAAACTGGGGAAAGACTTGAAGATTTTTCTACTAAAGGAGTATTGAATAATTCAAGTTTTTCAAGTGTTTTATGTTCCTTTTGATTTAAACTAGTGTCTCAACCTTGTTGAATTTTTCCTGAAGTCGTTAATAATTTAGTCACAAAGTTTTTCGTTCCATTGAATTTTGAAAATGTAGACCTTACGAATATCTTAAAATTTTCCGTTGTATTTAAATAACTATACTTCAAAAAGTAAGTACTGATGTATGTTTCTTTTTTCTATTTATGACATGTCTATCAAAAATCTGTGCTCGCTTTGTTTTTTTCCGGAAATGTACACCTTTGATGTATGCACAATGTCACTTTATAAACCTTTCCTCCTTTCCTTTGTTATTATGCTTTTAAATAAAACCTAATTGAGTTTGCTAATTTCCGATTGCCGGTTACAAAGCAAGTCAAGTGGCGGTAATGGATGGAAACAAATAATTGACTGAATAATTAGATTAAAGTATGCAACATTGCAATTTGCTCCTCCAACGTAGAGTACCTGAATAGTATGGCCACTGTGGTTTCCATCTCTGATTGGCTCAGCCATCTTAGGCTGATTAGAGCCTTCTAGGAGCCAAGATTGGCGGACGCTAGCTGTAAGTAAATGTAAATACAAAATGACTTAAAATGTAGTTTCATTTGCATATTGTAAAGAGAAATTTACTCAAATGCACTATTGCGATGTATTTACATAGTTTTATGGCTAATGTATAGCTATGTATGTGTGTATGGCTTGAATGTAGTAAGGTTGGCAGCAAGTTCGGTTGGTGAAAACCAGGTGATAACCGTCAACAGTTGGAAATAACCCCCCTCCCATTCTCCAAAACCAAAACAATGCACAGCCATTTTTGGGTCCTAAGCCCCTCCATGGGGCCCAGTCCAGTGACCATACTCTCCCTATTAAGGTACCCTAGGGCCTAGTGGCCATACTCTCCCTATTGAGGTACCTACTCTAGTGTAGGCATAATGCCCGTAAAAAATCTTTTGATGCAGGAGATATTCAGTAAACATGAGGGCCTGTTGGATCGGTAGATGTTCAGGAATTTCCACGAGGAAGTGTTGAATTCCTGAAAGTCCTAGCTTCCACCTGTGAGGCCAGTGGAGGATCCCTTGTCTCTGACAAATTTTTGCAAACATTGGCTGAAAAGAACTTTAGCTAGTGTAAAAATAAATTTACGAAATAAAAATCTTATAAAAAGAAAAAAAAAAAACTTCTACAGAGGTAGCTCAGCACGGAAACAAATAACCTTCCATAGTTGTCACGTAGCATTAGGGTGGCCCACAAAAAATGAATTTCGGAAATTTATAGCCGTAACCCCCCAAATCGGTTACAGCATGTTCAAAAACGCGAAAAATGAAATTGGGGGTCATGCCGCAATCACACGCCGAATTTAGCAGCTGAATGTGGAAAACAACAGTCATCGCTCAACGGCTGAAATTTAGCTAATTCGAGTTATTTTCATCCAGATGTGTATCAAATCTACTCGAATAGTTCAGACAAATCCAACATTAGTCCGATGGTTTCTGAGAATCGTTACTGAATTTTGCGCGTCACATTCAAGCCTCATTTAGCGTGTGATTGCGGCAACAATCGGACAAAATTAACCCGACGCGCAGTTGCCATTTATTCCCGCAAAAATAGCGAGTTTTTACTGTTTTTCAGTATTTTTTCGCTCTCGAAAAATGAAGTCGGAGGGGTCTGCAAATTAAACAGAGGGCAAAATTAGTTCATAAACTACACCCTAATGAAGTTTTGGACCCTCTCCATGCTTTTGACCCGACGCGCGGTTGCCATTTTCACGCATGAAAATAGCGATTTTTTTACTGTTTTCGATGATTTTTCCCTCTCGATATAACGGTACAGATGTCTAAATTGTAATCAGAGTGTGAAATTAGTAGCTCAGATACTCTCAATGTTTTTTGGACCCTTTTGATAATTTTGACGCGATGCGACGTTGCCATTTTTCTGAACAAAATCGTGAATATCGACTTATCTCAATATTATCTCTCTGAACCTAAAAAATACTCGGAAGCGAGGAGCCATCGAAAAAATGCGCTAAAACACGGTGATTATTCCATGAGTATCTTTTTTGAAAATTTGGACCCTGTAAAATTTTTTAGTCGGCGTGAAGTTACCACTTGGCAACGTCAATGTATCGTAATTTCATCCAACTTTAAATTTTGATTGATTGGCTCTGGAAACAACGTTCTAGACCTCTGAGAATTTGACACAGAGTGACTTTTCTTCTTCTTTGAAGGTCAAAGTAGTACAGAATCCCGTGTACACCCCGAAAAGATGATATGTTGCCAGATTTAGTAAAAGAGAAATACATATTCGTTTTTCTGCGTGGCAGCTGAGCAAATCGCACTAGAAAATAAAATTGGCAGTATTTTAAAGCTAAAAATAAAAACACAGTAGTTGTACTCAAGCACATATTAATGTTCTATACTTTTTCAAGAATGTATACATTTTAAGTAAACACATATTTTACTTCCAAGTTTACATTTTTTTGGTTAAAGTTTTTTTCTTAGAATCTGGAAATTGTTTCCTATATGCGCTAACTGATCTTAAAATATACTGTCTTTGAGTTTCATCTTGAGTAAGTGTGCGTTTAGACTCTTGAATTAATTTAACGCCTCTTTCAGCACAATCGTTAACTACTGTAACTTTCGCGAGAATATTTTTGCTTGTCTGAAAATCTAGAGAATTCTCCCTAGCAGATGGATCGCTTGTTAAAAAAGAGTGTGGAAGTTTAAGTTGTATGAAGAAATTTTTGGTATCTTTACCAATAAATTTGGCAATTTCACAGCCTTTAATCTATTATATCCTTAAATTTTACCTGTTTTTGGCTATTTAAAAAAAACTCTCTTCGTTTAAGTTTGACACCATTTTACGTTTCGTTTCCAAAGGGATGTTTTCATCAAAAAATGAAAGCGCAACTGTTTCATTGGCTAAGTACCATAAATGGTTCTGAAAAGTTGCAACAGTAACTCTAGATATATCTGAATCTATTGCCTCGTAGTCGAGGAGTCGTTTGATGATATTTAAATCATGGTAAGGTGCCTGAATTGCAAATGGGCATGTGTACCATGCTTTTACGTATACTTTCACAATGAATAGACACAGATCCAAAATATTTCTCTTTTCCTTTTTTGTCATTTTAAACTGCATACGGAATAAATAAATTCTTAATGTATAAATTCCTTTAGCCATCCACCGGGCGTGGTGAATGGCACAGCCTGGTTTCCCAAAACTAACATCAAGCTTGACTCTGAAGAATACATGGACTAAAATGAAAAACTCCTCATAGTCATCTCTTATCTGCTTACTTTTTAGAACATATTCGACAAAATTTAAAATATCAGCACGCTCAGTTTCTGATATCTTTGGAGCTTTAGGATCATCTACGAAAGGTTTAAATTTCGTTTTGTCCAAGTTTGGCCACATATTCTGAAATTCCTGAAAAAATTTTACATCAGGACTAGTAGAGGGGCCCATTTTCACTTCAAATGCGCTTTTCAGCACAAGCTCAAGCATGTGGTGCCTGCATGGAAAAAATAATAGTTCCCTTTCCAGCAAATGCTCTAAGAGCATGGCGGCGGCACCTTGAAACCTACCCGAGTTGGATTGGGCTCGGGACTTCAAAGGAAGAATTATCAGTGAATTTTTGCTGAGTAAGATGAAAACCAGGAGCCAGCTCTGAGGAACCGAGCTTCTGATAAGGGGTCCACGAGCATGAGCCCGGGGGCCAATCCCGGAATGTCGCAAGGCTTAATGTGGCTTCATTCTGGTCTCAAATATCTGGAACGTTGTTCTCTAGGTTTGATAAAACTTTAAGATACCTTGTGAACAATCTCGTGTCTTAGCGCATTTTTTCGATGGCTCCTGAGTTTTTTTTAGGTCTAGAGGGGTGCTATTGAAATAAGTCGATATTCACGATTTTGTTCAGAAAAATGGCAACGTCGCATCGTGTCAAATTTATCAGAAGGGTCCAAAAAACATTGAGAGCATCTAAGCTACTAATTTCACACTCTGATTACAATTTAGACATCTGTACCGTTAATTTATCGAGAGGGAAAAATCATCGAAAACAGGAAAAAATTCGCTATTTTCATGCGTGAAAATGGCAACTGCGCGTCGGGTTAATTTTGTCCGATTGACCCCTTTCATTTTCCGCGTTTTTGAACATGCTGTAACAGATTTAGGGGGTTACGGCTATAAATTTCCGAAATTCATTTTTTGTGGGCCACCCTAACGTAGCATTGTATGCATTTAAAATTTCATGAGTGCTCTTTTAATCACTAAACCCAATTTCCTTATCAAATACACTTTGTGTTGTCTGTAACAGTTGATGCAACTATACCATCTCTCATCATGAAAAGACCTGGTACAACAAAAGATGTCGGGATCCGAAGGAAAGAGTACAAAGAACGTAAGAAGAAAAGGTCAGAAAAAATAGTTGGAAAAATACTGAATTCGATGGCAGCAGATGAAAGTTCAGAATCCCAAACTAAAAGCGGTCCAACAATTAGATCAAACAGCTGTGATTCACAAATTCCGCGGATGAGTAGGACGTTGAGCATTGCTGTTCCAGCCTCTATTCTTGATAATGCCCAATCTGCTGAACTCAGGACTTATCTGGGAGGACAGATCGCCAGAGCTGCTTGCATATTTAAAGTTGATGAGGTGACTAAATCATACATGCATGATACATGAGTACTATGTGGCATGTTCTGTAATGAATATTCTGAAGGACCAAAGAGCATGATGCAAAAACAACATTTTTCGCCCCCATCTACATGCCTTTCAAACTTCTTCATTTGATAACCCAAAATAGTGTACAGCGACGGTGTAAGTTGGCAATTACATAACTCGGTTTGCGACGTTGCAGACCTCCTGTCATACTTTATTTTTTAAACGGAAAACTACTGAACGGCAATTCTTTAAAACTGCCGTGATTTTATTCTCTGTGCGAAGAAAATTCTGCATAAACTTCAAGGAATGATTTCAATTTGTTCTCCTCTAAAAAAATAACATAGAGGCGGAGATTTTCAGACACTGCAAACGAGATATGTGATTGCGGACTTGCGCCGTCGATAGGTATAATACTTATCAAGATATATGAAAAATACCTATTCAAATACCTATCAAATAGGGGATTGAATAACTGACAATTGGCGTATAATATCACATTAAAATATCCTGTAAAGTGTCCTTTTTCTAGGTATTAAATGCCATATCGATGGCAAAAGTCCGCAATCACGTTTCTCGTTTGCGGTGTCTCAAAATCTTCGCCTCTATGTTATTTTCTAAAGGAGAACAAATTGACATCATTCCTTGAAGTTTTGGCAGAATTTTCTTCGCACAGAGAAGAAAAATCACGGCAGTTTTAAAGAATCGCCTTTGAGTAGTCTTCCGTTTAAAAAATTAAGTATGGCAGGAAGTCTGCAAAGTCGCAAACGGAGTTATGTGATTGCCGACTTACACCATCGAAATCTCACAACATAGACGATCAAATTCCAGAACCAATTCCGATCAAAGTAGCATCAAAGTGTTGGGAGTCATCAGTCTTAAACTCATTAATTTGCTTCATTTTAAAATGAAAACTTGGCAGAAATGTTTCCTGTGGCAGGAAATGATGAATGGTGGCACTCCATTCTGATCTTACTTTGAACAAAAGCCCTGGATAGACGATCAAATTCCGAACCAATTCCGATCAAAGTAGACATGCTGATGAATGGTGGTCACCATCTACCATCAAATTTTGACGGGCCGCACTTTTCTGTTCAAAGTAAGATCAGAAGGGAGTGCCACCATTCATCATTTCCTGCCACAAGAAACATTTTTGCCAAGTTTTCATTTTAAAATGAAGCAAATTAATGAGTTTAAGACTGATGACTCCCGACACTTTGATGCTACTTTGATCGGAATTGGTTCGGGAATTTGATTGTCTATCCAGGGCTTAAATAAGTGCGGCCCGTCAAAATTTGATGGTAGATGGTGACCATCAGTCATCAGCATGTCTACTTTGATCGGAATTGGTTCGGAATTTGATCGTCTATCCAGGGCTTTAGACTTCGTTCAGAAAAATGTTTCTTTCCGTGAGAGGCGAAAAATTCCCGCTTGAAGGGGAAGCGCAGAAAGGATGCAGAGAGTGCAGCGGAGTGAGATGCCGTGCAGCCACTCGCAAATACCCTTTCCCTTGGCGACGGAGCGGCGCGTTCAGACATACGGCGATCGTGTCGCTCGAAGAGAGCAACAGGTTCATTATTTTGAGTTTTCTCAAGGCGAGCAGTCCGACACTTTGACTAGGTATTAATTGACTCGAGGGGCTTGGGGGGCAAATATGACAATCGCAGTTTTTGCTGTTTCAAGAAGTACAAGTTTAGAGTTTCATAATCACGTTGAGCCTTTTGCCAGAAAGGGAGTTCAAACTCATGTTTTGATGCTGAAAACTTGAATTTTAATGGTGAATTGTTCTTAGAATATATCGTAAGACCCGTTTTAGTATAAAACATTAGGTAATACCTCAGTTTTTTCAAAAGCCGCATGAATCTCACTTTTCCTCCAAACCCCTCAATTCAAATTGTGTAGTGGTATAAACAGTTTTTTTGAAGCTTCAATGAGTAAACTGATCTATTATGAACTGGACCCATCATGACTTTTCAGATCATAGTCTTCAATGATGTGGAGGATTCAAAAGGAGAATCCAATTATGATATCCAACAAAGTTGCTACCAGTTAGCCAGGATTTTGCAGTATCTGGAGTGCCCCCAGTACCTAAGGAAAACTCTTTTTCCGATCCACCAAAGCTTGCAGTATGCCGGTCTTCTGAATCCTCTTGATGCTCCTCACCATTTAAGAGCCAATGATGAATCCCTATTCAGGTAATTGAACCGGAGTTGTTCAGTATTGCACCGTACATCTCTTGAGTTACTTCGTAACCGCGCGAGTGGAGCACTCGTTCTTTCCTTCGATAGTTTCGGTAGTGGGTGCGATATTAGTAGCCACCGGTTTCTTACTGTTCCCTTGCCACTCGTTACCTGTTTGCCCTGGACTGTACTACGTTGTACCTACTTTCGCTGATTTTATGTGAACTTCTGAGTCGGTTATGCTCGCTGAAGTAGGTAACCAGTTGGCGCGTAGTTCTCCGTAACGTGAGGTTAGCCTCCTCTCTAAAATGAAGGGAAAGAACAGTCCGACTCGTAGTTCGCGCATCTGAGCTCTTTCAATGTGCTAGTAAAGTCCTTTTCCCATGTCGCAAAATGAGTGCTGAAAAGAGGTCCATTGATGCACTGTTGAGTGTTGTTACTGAAAATGGAGTAGTTGCACGGACGCTCTTTAATTCAATTTCTTAAAGTTTGAGGTTTACAGAGTATTGAGGTATTTTTTAAAAGAAATTCTGGTCACCGGAACTTAGAGAAAAAGCTCCTCAAAGTCAGAAGCCATTTGAAACGGGTCTTTTCCCGCGCTTCGGAACCAGGACTTTGTGGCGTCACATGGTATACACCCAAGTTCGCCCTGTGTTAAATACGTTTAAATGCGGTCTCTTTAAAAAATCGTGAAAACCCGATTTTTTTTGTTTAGACTTGACTTCTTTGCGTCGATGAAAATTTCAGGATTTGATTAATAATTTCAAAACAATTTTGAAAGCTCTCCATCAGGATTTCCTAGTGAAAAAGGGAGTTGAAATAGAGCTTTTCGTGTATCTTCTGCCGCCGCCGGGAGCCGTGCAGTCCGTCGGATTCGGGTGCGCCCGGACCATTGACTTATAACACAATCTAAACCGCGCACTAGGCCCAACTTTAGGCGGGGGAGGTAAGACAGCTAGCGGGGTAAATCAGGGTAAAGACGCGCCTTCAGCTTAGTTGATACAGCCGGATGTACGAAGCGTACTAGGCAACGGCTCAGGCAAGACTGGCATTTCCTAATGCGCGGTCTAGATTGTATTATACGTCAATGGCCCGAATTGCTTTGGCAGTGTTCGTGCGTCGTACCCAATCAGAGCTCGAGTTGGGCTCACTTGGCACCGGTAACGCCGATGACCAAAAATCACAACAACACCTCAACAAAGACTTATTCTTATCACTTTTCTAATCTCAACTAGTGCTGTGTTTGAGCTCATGATCAAGATACGGTTTTGGACACCTTTCGGCATGATTTCCGACAGTATTTTTCGAGGGAAAATGATAGTCTAGACACTTAAAACAGCATAACATATCACGCTTCGGCTCGGTAAACACACGGCCGAGATAGGGGTGATGGCGGTGGGCGGGGCCTTGTATACCAACTAAAGTCAAAGTGAATGGAAATCGTGTATTTTTCACCGCGATTTCACGACTATTATCGAGTTTTTACGGACCTTTCGAGTCAATCTCGGAACTTGCAAATGCGAAAAACGGTTTTTTCGCGAAAAGTTCTGGTAGCAACAGTCATCAGATGTAAAATCCCAGCCGCATGCAACAGGCCTAAATCCACGATTAGCCTGAGCTTAAGTTTTGCGTCAGTTTGGCATTTGCTCAACAATCGAATTTCTTAAATTTGATCGTTTTCAACTGACATCTGTATAATAATAGATAAAGGGTGAGAAGACGAATGGAATTCATCTAATTCGGAACGTTGATTGATGGTCAGAATTTGGCAACCTGCTAAATCCTGACTCTCACGAAGCAACAAACTCATCAAACTGACGCCAAACTTAAGCTCAGGCTGATCGTGGATTTAGGCCGAACTACCCCATTGCTCATATAGATGATACTGAAAATTGTGTGGGCCGCGCAATACTCAGTAACAACTAGGGTAACCTCGAACTCCAGTGCTTATTGCTTTGCTTATCGCTCCTAGAGCTCAAGGAGCGATCAGGCAATAAGCACTGGAGCTCGAGGTTACCCTAGTAACAACACTCAACAACTTGCATCGGTGGATCCCTTTTTCAGCTCCCATTTTGCTACGTCGGAAAACGGCTTAAGAAGAAGTCCGACTTTACTATCTCGTAGCTTGAGGACTTTTTTTCCTGTGATGTTCTATTGTAGCTGTTTCGTTTACATCTGTTTTTTTTCCCCATGGTGTTACCCTAATGGTCGCGGCTCACAGCAGAGCCTGCAGGAGTGCGTCAGGGTAGTTTCTTTACTCCGCAGCAGCCAGCAAGGCCTTTTCATTCTTGAGAAATCAGCGTTAGCTTTATTTTCTATGATACATCTAAATGGATCAAATTCGTTCTTAATAGCTGCTACTCGCTGATTTTACCGGAGTAAACGCACTCTCAACCCTCTGAAAAAATGGAACTTTGAAATTTTTTTTTTTTTTAGGGGGGGGGAGGGGCAGGCTGAAGACTCATTGCAGGAGCAAAAGGATTTAGGAGGTTCATTGCTATCTTGATAATTTGACAACTTCCTACGTATAGCGCACCTTGCTTCTCCAAAGTTATTCCCAAGTAATTTGGCTCTCTGAAGAGCAGTAGATCACAATTTTATTTCCGCTCAGAACTCACGGGATCATTATAGATTCTTATAAAGTACATCATTTGGACCGAGTTCATCAGAAAGGAATCAATCCACATTTTTGAAAAATTGAGTTAAGGATGTTTTTGAGTTCCTCTAGTTATATATTTTCTTCTGCCAAAAATTCAAAGTTGAAAAAAAAAAATATTAGTTTGTGAAACAAGGCGTCGAAGTTTACTTTCTACACGGAGTCTTATGGAGGATTAAAACTTCAAACCTCTTTTTCTCAATTTCATCTTGATGTGGGTTGGTTCCTTTCTGATAAACTCGGTCCATTTTGAAGTCTTCATTTTTTTACTCTTACAAACTAGAAGTAGCCTGTTAAGTACCTAAGGTAAGAGGTTTTTTTAATCTAATTTCAAAAATGAACATTGAATTTTTAGAATCAGCTAGGAACCTGAATTAACTTGTATTAAATTGCTAAAATTAGTCAATCAACTTTATTTTCTTGATGATCATTATTCTCTATTCTGTGCTGCAGGGAAGGCATTGTATCGAAGTGTCCCCCAAAACCCAATGTTGGATCCTATGTTTCGGTTGGCTTACCAAAAGATGTACTAGTCGATAAAATTCTTGAGCCAAGCCTCAGAGTGACAGTCAGATTGGAACCAAATGATAGAGGTGCAAAACTCCAAGGTAAAATAGTGTCCCCCACTACTCCCAAAGAGGAGGCAGGTTTGTATTGGGGTTACACTGTCAGGGTAGCCTCTTGCCTTCAAGAAGTATTTTCTAACTGTCCATATGAAGGAGCTTATGATCTAACAATCGGAACTAGCGACAAAGGTGATAGTTTATACGATTTGAACAAAGAACATTTTCACCAGTTCAGTCATACTTTAGTGGTATTTGGAGGTCTATTAGGATTAGAAGCAGCATTGAAAGCTGATCATAATATTCCCGTTTCAAATATTCGCCAACTCTTCGATCACTATTTAAACACCTGCCCCAACCAAGGATCTAGAACAATTCGAACAGAAGAGGCTATCTTAATTACTTTAACAGCCTTAACAAGATACTTATCTGTGTAAGGTTAAGCACCTATTTCATTGCATTCTTTTTTAACTGTTTCAAGATTGGTTTCTCTTGTTTAGGAACCAGTTCAAGTCCCTAACTTAGTGACTTGAAACAAAAGTGAAAAGAACAAACCAATCGAGTAACCCATCCAATAGATGGTCAAATGATGTTCAATGAAAATATCAAATTATAAGTTACATGAATATATTGGGTGATGCAAAAGTGTAAAAATCGTATAATTTCAAAAACAAGGATGTTAGGAGTCCACTCTGGAAATCTGTCAGCATTTATACGTCATACTACAAACTAGTCCATGTTACAATCGATTAACAAAGTGAGGTGTTTTCAACACGCACTCAGCAATGGGAAAACTCTAGTAAGGTAAACTTTGACACAGTTTACTGCAGACAAATAGGTCAGGTGTGTTGTTTGGTGGGTATTCAGGGTGTTGTCGACGTAAGGGGGGGGGGCATGGTTCCAGTTTTTACGAATAGGCCCTCAAAATCCTCCTGCTTGAAGTTGTGCTCAATTTTAATCTCCACTGTGTTTAGTTCATTATGTGGCCCTAAAATATGTCAGAACACTTATACAGCTGTATGCGCAGGTGAATTTAACTCTTCTCTGTGACATTGTTAGATTGATCCATGGTTGGCGCCTTCTTTTTGATTCAGGATTGTTATTGTACTCTCTTTTTTTTTTTAACGAACCTCAACTTTCTTGCATAACATCAATCTATCAGGCAAACTCATTTAAACCACAGCGAGCCTTGACCTGTTCAAGCAGCATTTTTCCTTGGGAGAAAATCGCCAATAAATGCTAAATTCTCATTGAAAACTTTGCAAGTAGAAACCTCCAAGGTGACCGAAGGGAAGGGTTTTTCAATTTTGAATTATTTGGATTAGTGATGGATTTTACACTAAAATGCAGATTCTCCTCCTCTGCAAAGAGAAAAAATTTGGAAATTGAAAAATCGCAACCAAATGATATATCTAAGGCAGACGCAGGCCCCCTTGACTGGGAATGTGTTCTGTTCGGGAGAAGAAGATAAAGTGAAAAAAAAAATGTTATGCAATAGCAAGCACTGCATTGCAACAAGGGAAGCAGTGAAGCCACATTACTTAATTCAGTTATTTTGATGTCATTCAGAACCATATTGCCAGTAAGAATTTATTATTTTCATTCTTTAGTCTAAGTAACTACAGCATCAAAATCATGAGCACTTTAAACCTGTCAAAGAGCCAATGTCAGAAAGGATGAGAATGTATTACTTTATTTAAGACTATAGTGCACATCATCTCTAAAGTTTGCTTTCTTTCCCAAAATTTTATCTTGCGCTTTTCTACATTTAGGTAATTAGAATGATTTTCCACTAAAAATCATTGAACCACTCATTTTATGTGACTGTGCCGAGGCGACTATATTTACTCCTAAATGAAATGAGAGGAACACGGGGTACAGGCTGTAAATAAAAGTAATTTGGACGGGGCGTATCGGGGTTCACATTCCCTTTTTCAACCAACCAAGGCAAGTCTTGCCTTGCTGTTAAGCGGCGGCTCATTTACGTGTAAATTTTAACTTGTGTTTTTTGTTTTTTTTCGGCGGTTGAAAAAGGGAATGTGAACCCCGAAACGTTCCGTCCAAATTACTTTTATTTACAGCCTGTACCCCGTGTTCCTCTCATTTCATTTACATATTTTGGGCTGATTAAATTGATACCTTTATTTACTCCTAAATGAATCAAGACCCATCAAAGGCCTCTTAGCAAGATCCAAAATCCAGACTTTCTTTTCTCATGATTGAGAAACATTATTCGTGAAAAGTGAGGTCATCTAGTTTCTTGAATGCGAATATTCTCCTCTGGTTTCTAGTAGTAGACTGTGGGCCAACAATGGTTCTCCCCCTCCCTTTAAAGAACGGTATTGTCAACAACCTTTGGCGTTAGCCAACAAGGTAATTAGTTTTGATCTGTGGGTCATGTATTGCATTTGCGGTGAGCAAAGTATGGATACTTTTTGCCCATGCATGAAGTACCTACCTCATTTGTGGTTAATATTCAGTATTCATTATCCATCATCAGTAACTCCTTCAATATCCAGTTGAATGCCGGAAGTATGAAGAAAATTTGTTTTATCACAATTATTAACTCTCAAAATTTAGAATTTATATGAACTAACTGTGCCGAGGTTAGCAGTTGGTGCAATTACTATTTCACAAACTTTGGCTACTTACCTGCGAAGATTTTCGTTGTGTGGGATGAGGAGCTGTGACTAAATGTAATTCTTAAACTCAAAGAAACTGAACTGAAGCAAAACAATCGTGCACCACCTAGATTTTTAAGGGGAATAATATTATGAAGAAGTGTAAGAATACCTTCGCCGACTCATAGGGAAAAACTTTTTTTATTAGTCTGATGCTTTTCTTTTTGGGGGGGAGGGGGAGAGGGTGGTTTCCTGATTTTATTTGGTATTTTGTCAAATGAGAGGGGAAAATATCTCATTTACATTCAATTTTCATGTGGCACAGTTTTTGATAAGGCCGCTTTCACACCATTTAATTTGTCGTCCGGCAGCCCGAATCGGTGAGCAGGTAGAAAACTGGGTGGAAGAAATCCGATTGACTAGCAGCCTTTTCACACTTATTTGGCACTCGATCCGATTTCCACACATTCCATAGAATATATGATTTTTGCCTTATCCTGGCTGTGCTAACAACAAATACACAGTCAGAATCATTTTAACAATGGGTCGACCTGCAGCTACTGCAAAATGGTGTTCGCACAGGAAGGGAAAGTCGGAAATATTTTCCTTCCGATTTTTCAGATAATCGTGTCTGCCATTCAATCTTAAATACTTAACAATTTCAAGAAACAAATGCATATAACTTTTATCCAAAATAAATGTTTTATAGGAGAGATTTTGGCAATTTTCGAATTTTCATATGGCGGTTTTCCCTAATACGGCAGAGTACAGCTTAGCTGTGCATGGATGAGAGGAGTAGATTATACAGTCTGAATTGAGCCTGAAATAGCATAGGTACACGAACGTACCGCAGCGCTCGCCAAATTGCACTTATTGCTCTATTCCGTAAAGCTCCATATTCGGGAGGACATTATTTTGTCTAGAGTACCTCTAAAGGGAGAGCATCGATATGTCGGGAATCTTCAGGTTAGATGATAGAGCTTTTAGGACCCAAAATGGTAGCCCACCTTGGAATTCTAATCATCCAGAGTGATTCATGTAAAGCACGTATTTGACTTAGTTTTTGCATAAAGTTACTCATTTTTTCGGAAGGACGCTCATTTATGACCATTTTTAACCATATTGGTTTGGGATTGGAATCTGAAGGTTGACAGCGACATGTTTTGTCTTACAAGGTTGTCTGCCCTTTTGGACCCTTAGAGTTCCATATTTCGACCTGTCCGTACTCTTCCAGTATAGGTATTCTAATATTTTATGTAAATTATTAGCGATTTACATAAAATATTAGAATACCTATACCAGGAGGAGATTCCATTGGCCGCAATGTTCTTTCAACCTATCAGGCAACCGATTCGGGTGAAGGAGTGAGCCACTGACACACGGCATGCCGGCGTACGAAAAATTGGAATAGGAAAGTGTGGAAGGCTTCATTCGCGCCAATGCGCCGCGGCGTGAGTCACGATTTGCTACCTGCTCACCAATCCGGGCTGTCGGACTACATACCGAAAAGTGTGAAAGCGGCCTAAGGGAAGCTCTCTCAAGTTGCTTTTTGAATTGCCATCAGAGGAAGCTTTCTCTAAAGAAATTTTCTGTGGATGGAATTCAATTGAAGATTCTAGCAATGATCACAGCTCTCCAAAATTGAATTGCAGCAATGATCATATCTCAACAAAATTGGTTTTGCTGACAAATATTGGGATCATGTTGAATGTATTCGTACGTTGAAATTTAATTATGCCGTGTTCAAATACATGACTACAATGTTTACTTGTTTTTGTTTTTAATCTCATTTTTTCTCCTTTTTTGATTTCGATTTCAAAGGAGGGACCAACCTTTTTGAAGAGCTCACTCACACCTTTGTCATGAGTAAATTATCGCAGTAATGAACATAAAGATTGCATTTACAAGAACGGAGCCAGCTCGATTTCAGTGTTTTTAAAATCGTTCAACATCCTTTTCGCTCTAAAAAGTACTAAATGTATGCACAGTAATACATTTCATTTAATCGTTTTCCTTTATAAGCCAAAATTTGGTGGTAGAAAAAAAAATTATTCTCGATTTCAGGCATTTCATGAAGATGAAGATGCAAAATTTCTCTACCACTTTAATGGAGCTGGTTCTCACTTGTTTGTGTCCCTGCAGTTTGTACGAGGGTATCCTAAAAAGTAAGTTTCCCTATTTTATCTCTCCAAAACTATTACAGCTGGAGCAAAACTGACCATACTTTCAGCATTAAAAGAAGCTAAAGTTTTTGTAATTTTGCCCAAGGGTTGTCGAGATATTCAACTTTTCCTGCACCCACCTCCTTTGCCGCGGGTCCGATTTCGACGCATAGTTTCCGTTGTTCCGTTGCCATCCGTTGTCGTGTTGAGTTGTCATTCGTTGTTCTTGCAGCTAAAGAAGTCTTATTACTGCTTAAATTAAAGGAATTAAATTAAAAAAATCACCCTCACTTCCCTATGTAGTGTCCTCCGTTGTCCAAACCCTTAGTGTCATCAGTGGCAGTAAGCAGTCGACCTGAACGCTGTTCATCATGCACATTTGCACGCCCGTTCACTAAAGAATCTCGCCATTGATGCAAAATTTGCACACTCATACACTGAACACCTAACGCTGACACTAATTCCTCGTGAATGCTGGATCCACTGAAACCTTTTGCTGTAAAAAAACGAATAATTGTGTGCAATTCACAATCTGAAACATCAGCCAATGGTAGCTGCATGATGAAAAGTCGTATGCTAACACTGCACCTCGATTACAAATAAGATGAGAATCATCGTAGTTATCATCGTGCTTTAGGTGAGGCCAGTATTAATACTTTGGATGTGGCATGAGGCCACTGAGGAAGGAAAGGAAGAAGACCGACTTTTGTGTTAGGACGCCATGACAGAAGTATATTGAAGAGGGCCGCTTCCACAGGAGCCTGGGCGGCCAGGCTCACATAGTTGCCATATCGACAATCAGGAGAAAATGGATGTCTTTTTCGGTGATGGGTGATACAGATGCGTGCGATCCTTGCCGATACGGAGAGCAACGAAAACTTAACTTTGACGCGCTCTTTCGGCGGTAACCAGAAATCGGACCCGCGGCGAAAGGAGGTGGGTGCAGGAAAAGTTGAATATCTCGACAACCCTTGGCCCAAAATACAAAAATTTTAGCTTCTTTCAACGCTGAAAGTATGGCCAAGAAAACTATATTTGTAGATTTGCTCCACCTGTAATAGTTTCGGAGAAAGAACATAGGGAAACGTACTTTTTGGTTCAATACAAATCACCAGCGCAGCTCATGATGAGTAGAACATTAAGAACAAAGCTGCCAACGAGTATAACAAACCTGAAACCCCATGATAAAATTATTCAAGCTCAGAATATAACTAAGCAATATTATAACAAAAGTGCTAAATCTAAACCCAACTTTGAGGAAAATGAAAAAGTCTGGTTGCCAGACAATAAATGTTTGTATCCAGCACTGATATTGAAGAAAATTGAAAATGCACCCAGCAGCCCGAATGTTGAAATTTTTTGTTTGTCAGAAAGACATAGATGACATAGGTTAAAGGGCGGACATACGGCTGTGACAAAAGCTTCCACATGGTCTGGTCAGGGCTTTGTGCGGTGTGCTTGCAAAAAAATCTTGCGTTTTAAACAGGTGCTCATATAAGAAGAAACAGCTGCTTTGCAATTCTGAATGTCACAATAGCATGCTGTGTTGAAATAAGTTACTAGACTTAAGTACCCTTAGAAATATCTTGTAAATCTTCTTCCTGGTAGGAATTTCTGTTTCGAACTTACTTCGAGTTTTCCCTAGTTAATTCTACTTCTAGCTAACTTTGATAAATTAACCGTAGAATTAATTTTCCCTAGGTAGTTCTAGTTTTTACTATTTAAAACTAGTCTTCACTAAAATGCATACAGTTAAACTAGTTCCAACGATGAAGGTCCCAGTTAGTTCTAGAATTCACTGATTTTGGGTTTTTCCTGTTACATTTCAGAGTAATTATCATTACCTATCACCTTTCTAAACTATAAAACACAATAGGCAGGTTGCCAATTGGGAAAATTGGCCGTTGGCTCCCTTAGAAAGTCCTCCTAAATTTGAATACAGTCAACAAAAACCCCTATTGTTCAAAATATTACGCCTCAATTAAAAAATCCCTAAATACATCAGTCCAGAAGTCAACATGGGGGAGGGGGTGGTCCAGACTATTGGCTCACCCCGTACAATTGAAGCACTGGGTGCGGGGAGGGTAGAGTACCTGTATAGGGAGAGTACCGACGGATCGGTTCATGGAGGGCTTAGGGCCCAAAAGTGCAGCCACCCTTCTAACCAACTTCTAACACACAAAATTTCACTGCCAGTCAGCAGATTTCAATTCTAACCAAGATGGCCAAGAATGTACAGAAATGAGCGTTCTTCCGCGAAATTGAGTAAATTTATGCAAAAACTGAGTCAAACACGTGCTTAATAAAGGACGGTTCGTAACAATAGTATCGGTAAATCTCTCTGGCTAATTGAAATTCATAGGTTGGCTACCCTTTTGGGCCCTAACTTTATTCGCGGAGGCATCGGTGAAGGTCTGATGGACTTTCGAAGTTTCAGATCTGTCGGTACTCTCCCTATACAGGTACTCTAGGGGAGGGCATTTCTTGATTGCAGTGTTTCAAAATCTCTGTTCACGTTTCATCCATCATGATTAAAGCAAATGTATGTAATTCGTTGAAACTTTCACCGAATATTTTCTATGATTTTACAATGCTGAAAACGAAAAATTTCAGAAAATTCACCCTAAAAACATAAATTAGAAGTGGAGATTCTGAAATACAAAGAAATGCCCTTTTGACACTCAACGCATAGTGGGAAAAAAAGACCATGGGGTGATCAAAAATCTGATTAGTTGTTGGATTTACACACTTATGTCCCGTAATTTGCCTCAAAATAGCATATTTATTTAATTATGGTCCACCCAGTGAGTTATATCGAATTTTCGACCTAACATTCAAGTTCTACGAGTAAAATTACATAGAAATTGATAGCGCTCTTGCCACATTAAAATTCTGGAGCAAGAGGCAGAGCTTGGATTGTAAGAATTCGCCATTTTGAGGCAAAAAATGGGAGCCAAAAATCCTGATCTTCCATGTACGAGTTGAGCGTATCTGGTTCAGTCAATCTGTGCCAAAAACGGGATCTCTTCTGCGAAAGTCTGGAGTGGGCTCTAGGAGAGCTAATTGGAAAATTGTCAATACTTTTTTAATACTCATTTTTTTGTTTCAAAACAAGATTCTTAAAAGGAGTATCATTTTTTTCAGGTGGGTCACCCAAAACGGAGGGTTTTTTAGTGGGTGGAAATCCTTCACACCCATATTGGGCTTCTAAAGCTACCTAAGATGGAGTCTTCAGAAGATTTCCCCCGCCTGAAAAAAAAAGACTTTGCTTTCAAAAAATCACGCGATTCGGTTACTCTCACATGGCTGCCAAGGGTGGGGGGGGTGGTTTAAAGGTGGCGGGGAGGGGAGGTTATGGTAGGGGAGGAGGAGGGAAGGACATAATGGGGTTAAGGAGAGTAACAGGAGTTGGAAAAGCAAGTAGCCTATGATGGGTTTGCATACATTTCTGACGCCTGTAATTAAGGTGATTTCATCGAAAAATGTGCACTTTGAATGACCGTCCTGGGTCGCGGGGTAGGGAGTATGTCATGGAGGAGGGTCATTGGCACCAAGGGGGACCTGTGAAAACCATTTGCCGAAATTTCTTCTCACTTCCAATGGCGTTACAGCGTTTTTACGCAGGAAATTTTACGAGAAATTGATAAACCCCTAAAGCGATTGTCCATAACTTTTGCCCTAATTGCTCGATTTCAAAACTCTTACAGCCGTGCAATAGGAAATTTTGCGCACTTTTAAAAAGAAGTAACTAAATTTTGGTCGAAAACCCCAAAGTAAGCGAGATTTCTTGGGNGGGGGGGGGGGGACGTGATTTTCCGCCATTTCTTCAGATGGCGGCCATTTCCAGGAGAAATTTTTGTTGGCAAACATCAGATTCGAATTCAGTGACCAAAATTACACAAGAATCCGTCTCACTATTTTCTCCCCAGATTTTCCCAAAATGAAATCACAGGTTGACTGGATTAATCCTCAAGAAGATCTGTGCAAAATTCAAGCAAAAATATGCATTTCCCTCAGAGTTGTAGATTTTTAATCGCCCCATGGTCTGTTTTTTCCCTCTGTGCAACGCCTCAATCATCTTTTATTAGCAGCTTGGCTATCTGAAAAACCCAATCAATTGGGTACATTGCAGTGCAAGGGTATTAATAAATTGTTTACGTTAAGGCGAAAGGATGAACAAGAGCGACTAATTTTATGAAAAATAAAGATAATTTCATTTCTGTTAGCAAGAACAAGAGTAACCAAAAGATTATAACAAACAAAATTTAGAACTGTTAGAGCTATCCTTATTGCACCTTTTAGGCTGATGGGACACCAATTAATTTAACTGCGTGCGAACATTAAGATACAAAAAATTAGAGGAAACATTAAGCAGCAACAACAACAACAGCTTAAAAGATAGAATTAATTGGCGGCTGCAGAAATTTGGGGACAGTTTGGAATGACGCAGCCCAAAGTAGTAGCACAACTCCTCTCCAGACCTCGTGTGCGAGCCTCGTAGTGAGCGAACAAAAGAGGCTTCTTACAAAATGTACATTCCTGAAAACAGACGTATATGTTAGAAAAAAAACAAGCACTCAAAAAGTCAATCATGTTCTGCATGAGTGTGAAAGCATGAAAAAGAGGGTTATTCATGTGGGCAAAAAATGCACCCAGCCCGGAGTGTACGAAAATTTGTGGGCTCATTGTACTAGTCAAGAGAGGGATCTCTAGTTCGGTTTTTGCAGGAGCCCCACGGAAACAGCGTTGCCATTTTTTAAAGTCGTAACCTTTATACATCCATAATTTTCGCAAAAATGCAGTTACAGAGCTTAAAACAGGCTTACTTTTACTGTGCGGTAAAAACGCAGTAAATTACACTCTATCGACCTATGCAGAAGAAATCATGATTTGAGCCCATTGTTACGGTGGGTATAAGAATCATGGACACAAGTCCATCGAAAAATGAAAACACAATTCAATCAACATAGATTCGATCGACATCGGTTAGTTCAAAAATTTCTGTTCAGGCAGTTGCGACGCGACGCGGCAACGTGCAAATCAGCCGGCGATACCGCCGGCTAGCGCTCTCCTTCCCCTGCGCTGGAGCAGCCGAAACTCCGGGTACCGCGCCACGAACTGGCGCGGATGGCGCGCAGAACTCGCGGTTCTTCCTGGTTATTCCCGGTCCCGGTTTCTCCGAGGAAAACTCAAGGAAGCTTTATTTTCTTTTTCTCATCCTAAGAAGGGTATACAACTGTTTCAATTATTTTGCCCAGTTTTTTATCATGTATTTTCTAGAAGTCCTTTTTTTTTGTTTATTGACTCGTCTCGCGTTCATTGAGCTAAAATAGCTCCAATTGGGGTCCCGTGTATGGCCGTACCCAATTCGCTACTCTCTCACCTCAGCCACTCCTACTGGTGTCTAGTAGCAGCGTTTCTCTCTTTCTCTTCTACTGGCTTCCAGTAGCAGTCTATCATTTTCTCTCCTACTGGCTCCCAGAAGCGATTTGTCTCTCTCTCCTACTGGCATCCAGTAGCATTCTGTCTCTCTCTCTCCTACTGGCTTCCAGTAGCGTTCTATCTCTCTCTTTCTCCTACTGGTTCCCAGTAGCGATTTTTCCCACTGGATCCCAGTGACGAAGGGGTGTAGTAATCAGGTTATTAGTTTTTTCTAGTTTCAAATAGTCGCGCTTATAAATCTCTGTTTCTTCACTAGTTTAAAGGCTCTTCTAGCTACCAGTCCACAACGCATCTCAGCCTTCTACCTTACCCGTAATACTGCTGTTCAAAACTCAACTTCTACTTTTCTACGAGTTTCTTTCTGGTCTCGTTTTCGCCTCAAACATTTAGGGAACCCAGATTCGTTCTGTAGCCGGCCCCGCGCGCCTGATAGCCTTTCATCAACTCCTATTAGTCCACTCATTCAAAATCTCTTAGTAATTTTTTTATTCCTTTTTTTCATTTTTTTGTTTCCTTACGGTTTGTCATTTGTGGATCGTTTCCTCCTGATACTGTCAGCATTATGTTTGATTTTTTCTAGGATGTTTTTACTAATTGCAAAAGGCGGTGTATGGTTGGCATTATTGAAATACTTTCCTATACTTGTACTAATTGGGCCAACATAGTCTATTTTAATGAATTTCTCTTTTTCTTTTCCAGGTATATTTTGGTCTTTTTGTATGGTGGTCCTATTTTTAAGTTTCCTTAAAATACCATTACCTACATGCCTAGGGTAGCCATTAGCTTTCGCTATATCCTGAATAATTCCTTTTTCTCGACAATAATGGGTTTGCCACTAACTGGAGCAATTGTCGAAATATTTTTAATAGATTACAAAGAAAAATACAAAATGAGCGAAAATAATCCTTATTAAAATAAAATTAAATAATACTACCGATACAACAACGATACCATATGAGTCTTTGCTGGTACGAACAGAATGGGCCTGTTGCATGCAAGATATACAGCCGTGCGAATAGAGTTTATAGAGATTAAATGATACGAAAATTACGATTGTCACATTAAAAAAGTCTGAAATACACTCCTTACTGCGCCATTTGCGTTGTTAGGAACGCGCTTTTTCAAATTTCCCGTGTCTGGGGGCAGTTTTCCAACGGCAATTCGCGGCTATTTCCGGTCAACTAAAACTGACAACATAACCTAAAAATCGGAGCTCGTGATATCGTGAAATGAAATGTAGAAGGATTGCGTTGGCTATTTAAAAGTTGATCGATTTCGTTATCACATAAAGCGTACATGGACCACTATAAGAGATCACGTTGGGTTTGTAAACAAACTGAGGGAAAAAATAACAACAAAAACAACGACTCGGCATCTTCCGGAAATCACCGAGCCCGCCGTTTGCTCGTTTCCGGTGATTAGAAAACTGCCCCCAGACGCGGGAAATTTGAAAAAGCGCGTTCCTAACAACGCAAATTGCGCAGTAAGGAAAGTATTTCAGACTTTTTTAATGAGACCATCGTAATTTTCGTGTCATTTAACCCCTAAAAAGTCTATTCGCGCGGCTATATCTCTTGCATGCAACAGGCCCATTATGAAAAACTTCAGTGACTACTTAAACGCCATCCATAAATGTATACAATTCACTATTGAAAAAATGACAGACAACACGATCAATTTTCTCCACCTAAAAATGCCCAGTACGCTATACGTTAATGGGAATAATCTGATTCAATTTGAAATACATGGAAAACCTCCGGCTACTAATTGTATCATTCCATTCACCTCTAACAGCCACAAATATGCCGCAATTCATTCAATGGCACCCAGAGTTTTCTCTATCCCATCGAAGTATAAAGATAGACAACGAGAAATGAGTATTATTCAGGACAAAGAGAAAGCTAATGGCTACCCTAGGCATATAGGTAATAGTAGATCAAGGAAACACAAAAATAGGACTACCATACAAAAAGACCACGATGTATCTAGAAAAGAATAAGAGAAATTCATCAAAATAGACTATGTTAGCCCAATTAGTACAACTATAGGAAAATATTTCAATAATGCCAACCACAAACCGCCTTTTGCAATTAAAAACATCTTAGAACATAATGCTGACAGTATCGGAGGGAAACAATCCACAAAATACAAACCGCAAGGAAACAACTGCTCTGGTGCATATAAAACTCAATATAACACATGCGACAAAAAATACCTATGCAAAACAGAGGGATCGATGAATTCCACATTCAAAGAACATATGAGGTCTTGAATGTAACAATAGTGGATGTCGAGTTTTCACATTGTGAGAAAATCCCGTTTGAAGTTTTAGAAGCTTTGTACTTTACCACCCGTAGAAACGAGAGGATTCTTATAAAGATTTTCATGAAGAGCAACTCTTCCTATAATAAACAAACGTTTTCTATGTAAGTGAAAAATTGACGGAGTAACAGCGATTTGAAAAAAATGTGACATCTGCTATTTTCACTGAGAACATTTTTATATGCATGAAACAGTGTCTTCAGTAAGGGTTATGCTGGTGAAACGACTGTAATGAGCCAAAAGTATGTCAATGCTGAGTCATTTAATCGAATTGAACAAAAAACTAAACCGTCTGTAACTTCTGCATAAATAATAAGGAACAAATTATTAAATCAGTTAAAAACTCATCAATTCTGGCAAAACGGTCCCGATACGTATCATTTGAGGGTCAGTTACAGCCCATGGCCGGTGCGCAGGCAGTTATCACAAGTGCATTAGAATCTCCGCGGTGTCCTGCCGCGCCGGCCGGGGAGAACACTGAGAACAGTGGATTCTCATAACTGCTGTTTTTACAAATAACATGGTTTTCAGTTCATATCTTGCCGAAAAATTACGCTGAAAGTCTGGAACTTTGCACAGGCATTCTTAAGGACTCCAGAATTCGAAAAAAGCGTTTGCCCTAAAAATGCCAGATGTCAGCGACCGCTATTGTTACATACAGGGTGATCCAGACCACCCGTCCACTATCTTTTTCTCGAAAACGGCATAGAATTGAGCTTCGGGACCAATACTTTCATAGGGTAAATCGACCCCAAAGAATCGAATGAAAATATTTTCAGCCCCCCAAAATGGCCCCTGGGGGGGGGGGTTTGGGGGGAGCCCCCCCGTTTCTCGCAATTTTCAAATGGGAAGGGTATGTTTTGACTTTGGATTCGGAATCTACGGTAAAAAATAAGAACATTTTGTTCTTTGCACTTTTTCCCTAAACCCCCATTTTTTGGAGTTATGGGGCATTTTTGGGGCAATTTTCAATTCGACGCTGTAAGTGGCCAAATCATCCAAATTTCAAAATCTAAAAATCTCCTGACAGGAGAGGTCAATACCTTTTTATTGATGTGCCACATGACCCCTGTTGCTCCAACATTTTGGGGGCCACGACCCCCCAAAAATTTTGGGGCTTTGGAGGGCCATGAGTCGAAAATGTCGAAAGGCAAGGGTATGTTCTGACTTCAGATTTGGATTCTACGCGAAAAGTTACGTAGAATTGATATGGCGCATGGTCTGTTTGCTCCAAATTACTGAAGAACCCCATTTCCCCATAAGAAGCCGTGTATTTTTGGACAAAATAAGGGGTAAAAAAAATTTGAGCAAACAGGCCATGCGCCATATCAATTCTACGTAACTTTTCGCGTAGAATCCAAATCTGAAGTCAGAACATACCCTTGCCTTTCGACATTTTCGACTCATGGCCCTCCAAAGCCCCAAAATTTTTGGGGGGTCGTGGCCCCCAAAATTTTGGAGCAACAGGATGTAATGTGGCACATCAATAAAGAGGTATTGACCTCTCCTCTCAGGAGATTTTTAGATTTTGAAATTTGGATGATTTGGCTGCTTACAGCGTCGAATTGAAAATTGCCCCAAAAATGCCCCATAACTCCAAAAAATGGGGGTTTAGGGAAAAAGTGCAAAGAACAAAATGTTCTTATTTTTTACCGTAGATTCCGAATCCAAAGTCAAAACATACCCTTCCCATTTGAAAATTGCGAGAAACGGGGGGGCTCCCCCCAAACCCCCCCCCCAGGGGCCATTTTGGGGGGCTGAAAATATTTTCATTC